AACTAAAAATTAATAATCAATTTAATTCTGCGATATCTTTATTTTAAAACATATCCAAGGTAGCAATTATACAAACTGAATGTATAAAACCGTATAGAGTTCAGTAAAATAGACTCGCCCAAAAAAGCAAAACAAATGAAGTGTTGACCTACTTTGAAGCCGACGTCGTCAATAGGTGGCGCTATTACCTTTTTGGTAACGTTCGAATGTGGTACCTTGTAAAATTGTCGGTCTTTTTCCGTCTTCCATTAACCTCCTCATATGTCCTTCTTTCTATCTCTTCTTTTTTCCCTTTCTTCATTCCTTTTTCTTTATTTCTTTCTTTTTCACTTGAATTTAAATGTGTATTATAGCAGGTGGGTCCACCTTGAGTAGACCTACCTGGCGTTTGAGAGATATTTCACTAGCCACATAATTGCCATCTGAGACCCACCCTTAAAATAATGACATCCATTCATATTCAACGAAAACAATTTACGACCCTATTTCTAAAAAGTGCATCAAACGAATGTACAGAATTTATCGAAAAAGTTATTAGCCAGAATAACAGTCGGGTGTAGAAGACCGTGTCATGTTTGGAATACCTCTAACAATATTTCCGTAAGACGAGAGACATGTCTTATATATGTTCACCCTTATTTTATGTTACAGTATATCATAACATCTTATTATCCTTATTGTAACGTTATACCGATATTATAACATTTTTCTTTTCTGTGCACGCCTAAAAAGGCGTCAATGCCGACCATCAAGCCAGTAAATACTGTTTGATTTGCGTGAAGACATTAATTTTTATCAGTTTAATTCTGTTAGGCCTATTGGTTCCACACTGCAAAAGTATCATGATTTGTTCATGTAGTAACGGGGGGGGGGTTGGGGGGGAGGGGGGGGGGGAGGGGAGAAGGGGAAATTCCCCCAGAATATTTCCTTGCCCCTCTTTATATGTATTTTCTATATAGGCCCCTATTAGTAGACTATCTATTAAGTAAGCCTCTGTAACACCTAAATTGTCATTTTTTTCGGGGGCTCCGCTACTTGGACCACTTTTGAAACATTTTAATCAACGCCCGACCACGCCCACTTCGCTCTCGTCGGAGACCTTTCTCCCACAAATTTGTACTTTTCCCCTTACTCCCCCCCCCCAGACAGATTTCAGACGCTGCGCCGCCACTGATAATAAAGCATCCGTGAATCCGGATTTGTTTTTAAAAAGCTTTTAAAAACCCATTTGTTTCCGACAATTTAAGTTTGTTTTTAAATTCTTAAACTTCATATTTGTAGAAATTTTAAACAATGATTTATGATATTTCATTGATGTTTTAACCTGAATTTTAATTATTTACTTTTACCTTTTAACATGTGTATTGATGTTTTTAATATGTACGCCGCTCTGGTCTCTTTTGAAAGGGCGCCTATATAAATGATTGTTATTATAATTATTAATAACTATATACAGAACTAATAATTTATTGATAATTAATACTACAGTAGTGACACATACAGCATAACTGTTATCGCCACTGACTGGAAATCCGCCCTCTCGCGTCTTTGTACTTTCTGCACAACAAATTTCAATAGAGATATACATCTTCCTTACTTTCGCATGATGAAGCAATAAATCTCAGAGCACTAAGAAGTTCTCTCGTCATTACTATATAAAATAAGTAATGAATGAGTTTATTAAAATCAAATGATTACTCTATTTTTAGGAACGGTATCTTATTTTAAAGTAGGGCTTACACATATTCTAAAGTAAAAAAAAAACAAGCGATTATTATAAGTAACCTGGTACGGTTTTAGTGTGCCACAGGTTCACTGTACGGTTCTTATAGTTATGAAGGATGAAAATTTATTTATTGCCGGGCTCAGAAATTCCGGTTTTTAGTATAAAGTACTCAAAAACTTTAACAAATTGGTTGATTAAAAAAAATTTGGGACTGAACCCAGTCTAACATGCTTATTCTACACAATTACAGTATTAGTTTCTCTTTACTGTGTTAAATGGGGAGAGAGCGCCTAAACTATTGAATGCGCTCCCAGTTATTTTCCGTGAGTAGGGCCTAACCTTCTCTATCCACAAGAAGATTCAAGACCCATGGTACTTCTTACTTTTTATGTCCGTTTGTTTCGTTTATTTTGTTTTCTATCATTGTACGGTATTTAGTTCTTAGAATGGGTTGATGTAGTGTAGGCTTACGTCATCATCAGTAGAGAATCTGTGATCATGGGTGTATGCAAGGGGAGGGGGTCGGGGTGTTGGGACCCTCCCAAAATTTCCAAAGGTCCACATTTTTTCCAAAGACATTTTTTCTAGGGCCTTTTCACAATGACATAAAAGAAAAGCATTGATGAGGTACCAGCAATGAGTCCAAAAGACCTTGCCAATTGTGTGACGTAATCTATTAACCAGCAATTCTGAAACTGAGCCTGCCATCCGCTTTAAGCTGGTGGCGCTGTTATCGATTTTCCTGTCCCCCCACTGAAAAGGACCAAAAAAATTATAATTACGACCCACCCAGAAAAAATCCTGGATACACCCCTGGTGATGATATTAGTGAACCACCTGTCGGGGGCCCTTTGGGGAGAAAAAGCACAATTGGTTGGGGAGAAAAAAAATTATTGTCTACATATTAGTAGACTCTAAAATCGATTAAATAAGCCTTTGAAACCCTTAAATTGTTAAAATTTTCGGGGGCCTCTCCCCCCTGGACCACTTTCAAAACCACGCCCACTTTGCTTTCGTCGGGGAAATCTGAACACT